TATTTCGAGAAGTCTTTAGTCACGCAATCGCCAAACAATTATTTCTGCATATTTAATGAGTYAAAATAAAAGCTCTCGCAAAAAGCGCACAATTATTTCCCCAAAATAAAATATACATATTTCAAAAGAGCAGTTTCCTAATAGCTGTTGACTGTAATCTCATAAGATTTGGAAGGATGGCACATGGGGAAACTCGCAGTTTTCGAGATGCACTAACGAGCATTGTAAATCGGTGCCCTTTGCATTTCATCGTGTTAAATATTCCAGAGTTGTTCGATTTTTATAAATCTACTCTTAATGAGCAAATAAGAGTTGTACTTTTGGCAGAAAGTATTAGAAGGCTATTTGGATCAATAGTTTTGTTACACGGACCAAGCGAAAGTAAGCAATTTTCAGCCATCTTTTGGCAGCGAAAATCGTCCGTGGAGCTCCAAAACGATTTTTCCCTTTTTCTCGAAAACAAAAGAGTATTTTTCGAAACTAACCACACAGCGTTTCGTACTTCATCATACACTACTAAAATCCAAAAGTAGAGCGAATTCGAAAATTTGAGCCTTTCCGCCGTATGTTTGATTTTTACAGACAGTCGCTCTTAAGACTGGCATGCTATACGCATTGCTTACAAGGTAAGAAAAAMTATATGCTAGTTTTCAGTACAGGTTTTGCAATCAATAGTAAGTGGTTTGTCAAATAATACATAATTCACAGCCGATAGGAAAATCCAAAATGAAGTTATACCATCATTAGCATTTTATGATAAAAATACTGTTCACATGTGCTTAATAAAAAAGATTACGGTAAGTCTACCTGAAAGTATTATTATTTATAAAGTTGTCCCAATAGTGATTTAAGATAACCTCATAAGAGTTAAAGTTTAACAAATGCTCATATACAAGAGAAAGTCTGGGCCCCGAATTAGATTTTTACGAATTTAGGTTTTTAAGGCAGTTCCCTTTTGATTTTTTTAGGAAGGACCCCCCTGGAATCAATTACTAACAAGTTTTGACACGGGAAAACGTGTCAAATGTGCTGGGCACATTGGATACTTTGAATAGAGTAGAAGACTATTTGGGATTTAGTCATTGTAAGACAGAAGAAAGTCCGTGGATTCGGTTTGAATATTTTTTTACGGTCAAATTGAACCAGCATAAACGGGTCTTGGTCGCAAACCCAAAAGCAAGCCTCCGTCTCTCTGAGAACCAGTGTTATGGTGGCTCCATGGGCTCAAAAACACCACACAAAACATTATTGAACAGAAGATTCTCCATATACAGAAAAAGTTTGGTCTCGAAAATTTACTTCAGAATACCCTTCGAGCAGAGTCTCCTTTACCTTCCTCCGAGTGAGAGAAAGGAAAGAAGACTCTTTCCTTTCTCTCACTCAGGGGAAGGTAAAGGAGACTTTGCTTGCAGGATAACCTCAGAATGGAAATATTACGAAAAACGTATCTCTTTCCCTACGCTTCTTAGTAAATTAGCCCCCCAAACAATATGGCGTCGGAAACYGTGAAAGGAACTATAAATAAACTAATATAAAACTCGTGTGAGTACTCTTTTATGTAAATTATGACGCAGTAAATTCCTCGCCCACCCACTCGTTGAAGGTTTCGGCATGAAAATCCTTTTTTCATAAAAATATTCGACTAGAAATAGATACSTTTAGCTAACCAAAACAAAAATCATTACTTTAGTTAATACAATARCATATAACTCGTGCAGGTACTGTTACTAAAACAAGGAACGGCCTGAAACCACCCTAAACCACCTCAAACCACCTSAAACCACCTSAAACCACCTGAAACCATCTTGAAACCACCTGAAACCAGCCAAAACATTGAATCTCCATCGAGTTTGTCGTCCAGTTYGTGTATTTAATTGACTTTTATCGATCGATCAAGTGTTTGTTTTCCTTGGAAGGGATGTACTTCATGGTATAATGCCATATAGTCGCTCATACGTACAGTCTCCCATAGAAGTATTCCACACTTATAYCTCACCTCTCCCTTGCTATGATTACCTTGTTCCTAGCTATGATCAACCGTCCCTACCTATGATCAACTGTTCCTAGCTATGATCAACTATCCTGTACCAATATATAGATTAACTTCCCCTTATATAGTTTAATGAACTTAAAAACTTGCAGGCAACATGGCTGAATTACGTTAAGCAGGGGCTTATCCAGGATTTGTCATGGGGGGGGGGGGGTCACAACATGCCAAATTGTCACTATGACATCATATCACATACTGCATCAATGGTCAGATGATTTATCTTTGGCTTTGAAGGGTCACAGGCACCCCTGAGCCCCCTAGATAGGCCTACGTTAAGTTTAACAAATTTACACGTTAAAGTATKTAAAAAAATGTTCAAATTGTAATCATAGAGGGAGTGGCTTCATGGGCACATAGATGRTATGCTTGACAGTTTTGTAATGGATAGCATTTCAGACTTAAGTAACTTAAATGGAGAATTAATAGTTGCAAATCCTGTTACTGAGTTTCCATGCCGTAAAGAAGGTTGTATCAGAATTTTTAAATATGGAAAGTGTAGATTAAATCATGAACAGAAATTTACCACCGATGAGGGCATTGGTAATGAGATGAAATAGATGTTAGGTAGCGGTATTTCATAAGTGCTATGCGGTCTACATATTCTCATCTTTGCATCATAATTACCGCTACCTAACATCTATTTCACCCCGGTCTGCTCTCAGTCTGACCTCTAGCTCAGCTGGTAGAGCATCGGTAGTACAATTCCGAAGGTCGTGGGTTCGATTCCCAGAGAGGTCGGAAATTAATTTTTCCGAATTTAATTCCAAGRGCCTTTCGCAAGCACTATAACTTATCTATATTTCAATTACCAGGAATGTGGGGATGAAAATGAAACTGATGAAGAGGATAAGGATGAGGAAAATCAAGATGAACGGACAGAGAAGACAGAAAAAGATCATGAAAAGGAAGATGAAGCAGAAGAAAATGAGAAATCAGAAGATAGGAAAAATGATGGAGTGTACAACTATGGCTGCCTTTATTTGAGCATCGGACTACTACTGCGAAATGCAGATGATGCTGTGAAAAGAAGGAGACAGTGAAAGGCTTCTGAGGATTTGGAAGTTTCTTACCTTTCTTTTCAGATATGGTGGGAGCAACAAATATGCATTAGCAGGCCTGCGACTTACAGCCTCAAGGCTGGCTTTGTTAACTCCAAGACAAAGTCATCGACTAACTTGGAATAGATT